GCTGAGGGCATCGCGCGCGTTGCGGCTGGTGTGACGAGAGGACTTCATGGCCTGACTCAAATGCGAGTTTCTGTGTGTAGCCGTGAAGTGATAGGCTTGCCCTATCGGCAAGTATTGGTAGGATTGCAACCATGAAAACGACGATTGATATCCATGATGAACTGCTGGCGCGTGCAAAACAGCACGCAAAGGCGACGGGCCGTTCGTTGCGAGCGGTGATCGAGGACGGCCTCCGTCAGGTACTTACCGCGCGATCTTGGGGGTGAATTCGGGGCGAGAACATATAAACGGTCAACGATGGGGGCGCCACCTCCCTATAAATATCTGCTCTACTTCTGAATACGAGCGAGAGGAGTACACAAGTTGCACGATTTGAGTGTGGGGGATCCGAACGCGGCGGACCCGCTCAAGGCGTTTTCATGGCAGGAGTTGCGTGGAACGATCTACGGAGCAGGCGGATGTCGCAGCGATTGCGAGTCGATACGACAGCTGCTAGCGTCACGCCCATCGCCGGGAATCCGATCTGCATGAAGCTGCGTACGCTGTTTTGCGCAGTTGGCTGAAGGAGACAGGGGCTGGGCGATTCCCTGGCCTTGTTGTTATGAGTCCTGTAGCATCGTGACAAATCGCCGAATCTGGAAAGAGCCGCCACGCCGCCAGAACAGGCGTGGCAGCACTCGAGCGTGGACATGCGGCACATCAGTAATCATCTGATCGGCGAGAGCGACGGCTTCTCGAAAGATCTTGGGCAGCCCTCCGTACAACGGCCCCGCGGGTGCGAGGCGATTGTCCATGGACGCAAAGGATTGCTGCGATTTGTCTTGAACGGTCGGAAGTGTGATACTCGTGATCGGGATTTCGCCTTATTTCCGGAACTCACAACGCGGGACCCGTTCAACCAGGAGTGATGGGCAGGAGGACCGATTCACGTGAAAGACGTTTACGGCCCCAATCATTTTGAGGCGCTCCACGATAACATTCCCCACCTCTGCATTTCAGGTCACACAATTGAGTCGAGGGAAGGAAAGCACGAACGGAGGTCGCGCTTAATGACAATCCAACTTTACGGCTTCCACCGACCTATACTACGCATTGAATCGAACTCGTCTTCCAAGATTGGACCGAGAATTCGCCGATCGAGCTTGCGATGACGATGTGCCGGCCAGATTTTGGAACTACAGTCAAATGAAGCCGCAGACAGCGGGCGGCGGCCAAAAACACCAAGCGAGGTACGCACGACATGTGCAAATGGTACTTGGATACGGTGAAGATTCGCTCACTCTATGGCTACTAAAGATAACATGACGAGCGATTATGTCGTGAATAGTTCCAGGACTCATCAGACTTGGAATGTCAGTACTTGTACCGACCGTAGTTTGGTCAAAGGTAGGTGTTTCAGAGCCGTATATTTGGCGAATTTGATGCAATTGTTAAGAATTGTCGGAAAAGCTGCTTGTATCTTGCGAGAGTAAGTTGCGGATAAGATGCGGTAAAAGGAGAGAGTCCACCACCCAGAGTGAAACTAAAAGACGCACAGTTTATTCGCCACAAGATGTTTACGTTCTATGTTCACGAGTGGTCTTGGCGAGTTATGCCATCAGCTGAGGAGGACGACTTCAGTAGATTTGCGCAGTGCCCAAATGGAGGGCGCAGAGAATGTCAGAAGTCCTTCCGGTGACGACTCTGGCAATTGCTAGCAAGAAACTATGCGAACTGTTGCTATGGTTGATCTGCAACAGGGAGACAAGGCACTGTGCCCGAGATTAAGAATGTACTCATCTACTTTCACAATGGTTTCTAGTGGCAAAAAGCAACGTGGTGGTCAACGCAGGTGATCGGCGAAATAAAAAGGTAGTGCTGCGGCATATTGAAATGCATTTGCGTTAACTATGACTGACGCATTAGATACTGCGCAACTACCGGATCACGTTTTTTCTTAGATGCACTGCCAAATGACGCAGAAGGTCTGTTACTGCCTCTACTCTGCGCCACTGTTCGCGATCAGCGGCAACATGCGCTTAGAATCGACATATAGATCACCAATTGCCGAGTCGGTATAGAAAGCGACTTGAGTCAATTGGTACTTATCGTACCAAGTACGTTTCTTCAGGCTGTTAGATATCTGGATTAGTACACGCAGGCTTGTCATCTGTTCAACAACATCGTATCGGGCAATATGGTTAGTTTACGTGTCCGTGTGTCGAGGTGATTCAGATATGGTGTGGGCCTTACTCAAGTGAGTCCTACACTTGTGAAACTCTGCAGTAATCCACGAAAGAAACGAGGAATACGTATCGCGCCAGGGTTTAGGGTCGGGAGACAGCTGTGAGCCGCATTGAGCACTCTATTGGAGAAACGGATCCGCCTACGCCGCTTACGCACGCGGGGGGGTTGGCGGTCTGCGCGCAGACGGAGTTGGTGGCGGGCGCAAGCCGGGGAAACGAGCATCTGCAGCTGTTCGGGAAGATGTGGGATGTTGACGCTCTCTACCTGGATTACCGGGAGATGTTGGCGAAGGAAAAGCTTGATATTGTCTGCATCGCCACACATCCGGGCTTGCACCGGGATATCGTCGAGGCAGCGGTCGAGGCCGGCGCGAAGGGCATCCTGTGTGAGAAGCCGTTGGCTCTGAGCCTGGAGGACGGCGATGCCCTTGTCGCGGCCTGTCGCGACGCAGGTTGCGTCCTGTCTGTGAACCACTCGCGGCGCTGGAATCCTGCCTTCATCAAAGGCAAAGGAGATGCTTGATTCCGGCGCTATCGGCGATTTGATCTCCATGCTCGGCATCTGTCAGGGGGTCAAACCGTTCCCAGAGTGGACCGCGGACGAAGAGGGTCCCCTGATCCATGATGCCGTCCACACCTTCGACCTCTTCCGCATATATGGCGGCGATGTTAAATCTGTGATAGGCACTGCACACCGTCGCCACCACCCTTTCCGCGTGGAAGATATCAGCGAAGCGATATTCAGTTTTCATTCGGGTGTCAGCGCGGTCTGCATGGCCAACGAGTTGACCCGTTATGCCCGTTTCGGGATCGAGTTGCAGGGCACAGAGGGCGTGCTCAGCCTGGAGTACGCCGGCAACCAGTGGCTGCTTGGGGTCGACACGACCGACCGCCTCAATGAACCCGACTCTCGCATCGAGTGGTACACGCTTGAACAGCAGCCATTTCCGGCCATCAAGGAGACAAGTTCGATCCAGTTGGCGGTCGAGGAACTGGTGCGCTGCATCGAAGAGGGTGGTGAAACCCAGCTCAAACGGGGAAGACGGAGTTGCCTCGCTGGAGATGGTCATGGCCATATATGAGTCGCAGCGGCAGGGGAATCGTCCGGTGGAACTGCCGCTGGCTGACCGCTCATCCCAACTGTATATGCTGCGGGAGGAAGGGCATTTTTGAGGTCAGCGTCTATAGTACCGAGGAGCCGACATGAAACACCTCTTCATTGACGATCACGAGATTGAGGTCATCGACAATCTGGCGCGCAAGCTGCATCAACCCCGTAAGCAGCGCGACAATGTCGTGATCCGGCCGGAGTACCGCTGGGAGAACAACGTCATCCAGGTGCGCACGACGCCTATCTGGTTGCCGGATGAGGGAATCTTCAAGATGATCTACCTGACCGGCGCGGAGGGGTTGGATTCTGAAATCAGGTTGGATGCAACCGGCGCGCCGGCCGGCGGAGAGAGTTTCGCCTGTTACGCCACTTCGGAGGACGGCGTCAACTGGGAGAAGCCTTTTCTCGGGTTATACGACTATCCTGCTCCGACTTGGCGAGGCACGCCTGTCGGCGGCGAAAACAACATTATCCCCAGCGCAAGGGATTGCTGCAAGGGCCGATCTATGATGCCCACGACCCGGACCACGGCCGCCGCTTCAAAGGATTGCGCTACGGAGAGAGCGAACTGCGCTCGATGGTCTCTGCGGACCTTTTGCATTGGGAGGCGCTCGACATCCCCTCGCTACACAGCCATGATGAGTCACATCTGACTACGACGAGGAGAGAAGGTCGTTCATCGCCGCGGTCAAACGAAACGGACCCTACGGGCGCTCGTGGCATTTGCTGACCAGCGAAGATTTCGCCGGCTGGGAGGAACACGGGCTGATCTTTCATGCCGATCAGACCGACCAGGAAAACGGCAATGCCCGCCTGCAACGCTTCTTCGACGACCCTGCCTACCTGACTCCAATCCATAACCGCCCGGAAGAGTGGCGTACAGATGTTTACAACTTTCCCATATTTCCTTATGAGGGGCTCTACCTGGCGACGCCGGTGATGCACCACTGGGCGGGCAAACATCCCCCGCTCTACGAAAACGTAGACAGCCGCAAGTCGGTGGAGCTGGCCTCGAGCCGCAATTTGCTGGATTGGGAGAGGGTAGCCGGTCGCGCGCCGTTTATGGAACTGTCGCCCGTCAGCGATGGTGAGACTTACGACACGGGCCAGATCCTGATTACGAACCGCCCGGTAGAACGCAACAATGAGCTGTGGTTTTATTATCTGGGCTTCCGTTACCGCTCTTTGTCGGTCGAAGATGCGCTCAACCGGCGTTACCTGGATGCCAGCGCGCTGTGTCTGGCGCGTCTGCGTATGGACGGGTTCGTTTCGCTCAAGGGCGGGATCGAATGGGGGTCTGTGCGCACGCGGCCCCTCCAGGTCAGCGGGGAAACTCTGCACGTCAACACCGATTCCTGGCGGGGCCGGGTATTGACCGAGGTGATTGACGCCGGAAACGGCCAGCCAATTGTGGGCTACACGAAGGATGACTGCATCCCGGCGATCATTGACAGCATCGATGAATGCGTCCAATGGCGGGGAGGGCGTAGTTTGAAGGAGTTGGTCGGCCAGACTGTCTGCCTGCGCTTCCATCTGTGGCAGGCGGAACTTTATTCCTACTGGTTTGATTGAAACCGACAGGATTTCTCTACTGAGGAGCGCAGCCGCCGTACAGATGCGGGTTGCCAGTTCTCTCTACAACTCAACAAGAACGGAGTTAAAAGATGAAACGTTTCGAAGGTAAAACGGCTCTGGTTACGGGCGCGTCGCTCGGAATCGGGCGCGGCATCGCCCTGTGCCTGGCTGAGGAGGGCGCCAATGTGGTGGTGAATTACCGCTCGCACCAGGCTGAAGCAGAGAGCGCGGCCGAGGAGATTCGCCAACTGGGCGGCGAGGCGCTAGTCTGGCAGGCGGACGTTTCCGATCGCGACGCAATCGCCGCGATGTTCAAGGGCGCGGTCGACCGCTTTGGCCGCATTGATGTTGCAGTTGCCAACGCTGCTATCTCGGTCCGCGAACCGGTGGTAGAGGCGAAGTGGGAAAACGTAATGCGCACATTCCAAGTCACAGTTCGGCGTTTTCCACACATGCCAACTGGCCGCGCAGCAGATGCTGAAACAGCCGCGAATGGGGCGCAGCCGCGGCAAGATCGTTGTCATCAGTTCGATTCACGAGGAGATCGCTTTCCCCAGCAGCGGGGCCTATAATATGTCCAAGGCGGCCATCAATCACCTGGCCCGCACGATGGCAGCCGAGTTGGCAGGGCAACGCATCAATGTCAATGTGATCAATCCCGGTTGGATCGACACGCCGGGCGAACGCAAGCATTTCAGCGAAGAGGATATAGCCGAGGGCAGCCGCCGTTTACCCTGGGGGCGGATGGGCGTGCCGGAGGACATCGGCAAGGCGGCGGCTTACCTCGCCAGCGACGATGCCGACTACGTGACCGGCACGATCCTGCGCGTGGACGGCGGCTTTGTTCACGGCCTGGTGCTGCCTGAAGCAGCGGCGGAGACAGCTTGAATCGTGCGCCAATATTTGGCGCGCCTGGCATTTGTTTTTCACTTCCATTCCAGTTCAGGAACTTCAGATGAAAATTGCGATAGGCGGACTCAGCCACGAGAGCAGTACATTTACGCCGGTGCCGACGACGCGTGAGAGTTATGAGGAGCGATTCTTGCTTGAAGGCGACGAAATCCTGCGTAAATTCGTGGGGACGAATACGCCGATAGGCGGGTTTATCGCGGGGGCGCGGGCACACGACTTCGAGCTTGTTCCGACCTTGTTTGGCGAACCTCAGCCGAGCGCGCCGACCCCGCGGCCTTTGTATGACGAACTGCTGGGCAGCATGTTGGAAGGGATTGCGAGTGCGCTGCCGTTGGACGGCGTGTTGTTGGAACTGCACGGCTCGATGGCGGTCGGGGATCTTGACGCGCCCGATGGGCTGGGGGATGCGGAGGGTCATCTGCTTGCAGCAGTGCGCGAGACTGTCGGTCCGGACGTGCCGGTCGTGGTGCAGCTTGACATCCACTCCAATATTTCGAAGCAAATGGTGGAGATGGCCGATGTCTTGATCGGGCGGGAGACCTTTCCGGAGATCGACATGGCGGCACGCGGCCGCGAGTGCGCCGATGTGTTGGCGCGCATTGTCCGTGACGGTCTGCGCCCGACGATGGCCCTGCACCAGATTCCAATGGTCTGGGGGCTAAACCAGGTGACAGCCCACCCGCCGATGCGTGACGCCATCGCCGAATTGCACCGTATCGAGGGGCTGCCGGGGGTGGTTTGCGGCTCGATCGCTACGTGTTTTTTCCTGGCCGATGTGCCCGATATGGGAGCCTCGGTTTACATTGTAACCGACGACGACGAGGCGTTGGCCCAGCAGTATGCCGACAGGTTGGGCAACTGGATATACGCGCGCCGGCACGACTGGCAATTGGAACTTTTGCCGGCCCGCGCCGCGTTAGAAAAGGCGCAGGCGGATGCGCGCTACCCCATCATCCTGGCCGATATGCAGGACAACACCGGCGGCGGATCTCCGGGCGACAGTACGGGTGTGTTGCGCACTTTTATCGACATGCAGTTGCAGGATGCTTGCGTGCTCTACATCGTCGACCCCGAAGCGGTGGCGCGCTGCCAGGAGGCAGGTGTCGGCTCCCGCCTGACTTTGGAAGTGGGCGCCAAGTCGTCCCCGTTACAGGGAACGCCGGTACCTATGGAAGTGGAAGTTGCGGCTCTTGCCGATGGGGCCTTTCAGTATGACGGGCCTATGTATGCAGGCTGAGCGGCCATATGGGGCCTTCGGCACACATTGTTCAGGATGGGATCCACGTGTTGTTGGTGAGCCGGCGGGAACAGCCTTTTGACACGGCGTTCGCCCGCACGCTCGGTCTCGACCCGCGGCAGATGCGGTACATTTGCGTTAAGTCCAGCGCCCACTTTCGCGCCGGATTCGAATCGTGGGCCGGCGCGATCCACGTGGTGGCCGAGCCGAGCGTCCATAGCTTGCATGACTTGCCCTTCCGGGGCCTCGGCCGCGACCTCTATCCACTCACTACGCAGGAATAGCTGTCCCTCTCATATAGTAGGAACGAGATGAGAGGCGTTGGCACGCCTCTCATCTTACTTTTCGGCATCTTTTTACTTATCGGCATCTTTGAAGAGCGCTGTTGGAGAGCGCCCCCGGTAGGAGTCGAACCTACGACAAAAGGTTTAGGAAACCTCTGCTCTATCCTCTGAGCTACGGGGGCAAGAAATACTGCACACGTTTCGAAACGATAGCATAAAGCTCCCTACTGGTCAAAGAAATCAGCCGATTCCGCCGCTGTTGGGCTCTTGCACTTGGATTAAGCTCGGTGCTTACGGCAACACCGACCAGGTTTCGATTGTGCGCAGCGAGTTCGCCCATTTCGCAGGACTGATGTACAATCGGCGGATATGATTTGCCCATCCTCTGTCAATCGGCGCGCTGGTTGGCCGGTGCCTGTGCGCGCGTTCTCCGGTTGTCAGGTCTATAGTGACTCGCCGCGGTTCGGGGCGATGGTGAGGCCCGCCCCGGCCCACAAATAGAGGCGTTGCATGCAAACTGCACAGGATTTTTCGCGTGGTGTAATGAAAAATGTCGGCGATGTGATCGTCGGTAAAGAGGAGGTGATCGAGCACCTGCTGATAGCGTTGCTGTGTGAAGGCCACGTCTTGCTTGAGGATGTACCGGGCGTGGGCAAGACGATGATGGCGCGTGCGCTGTCGGTCAGCCTGGGAGTGGACTTTCGCCGCCTGCAGTGCACGCCCGACCTGCTCCCCAGCGACATCACCGGCACGAGCATTTTCAACCAGGAGACCCGCCAGTTCCAGTTTATCGCCGGCCCCGCGTTTACTCATGTCCTGCTGGCGGACGAGATAAACCGCGCCACACCCCGCACGCAGGCCGCGCTACTGGAATGTATGGGTGAACAGCAGATCACCGCCGACGGCGTAACCCGTCCCTTGCCTCGCCCTTTCATGGTGATTGCCACTCAGAACCCAGTGGAATATGAAGGCACCTTCCCTTTGCCCGAGGCCCAACTCGATCGATTCCTTTTCAAACTTAAATTGGGCTACTTGTCGGATGAGGAGGAAGGGAAGATGCTGATCAATTTGGGACACCGACATCCCATCGAGACGCTGGAGGCGGTGGTCGGCGGTCACAATCTGCCGGAACTGGCGGAACAGATTTGGCAGGTGACCGTGGCCGACAGCATCCGCGACTACATCGTCGGGCTGGTTCAGGCGACACGCAGCCACACGGACTTGGTGTTGGGCGCCAGCCCGCGCGGTTCGTTGGCCCTCTATCGCGGCGCGCAGGCGCGGGCTGCGTTGCAGGGCCGCGATTATGCGCTGCCGGACGATGTGCAAGCTCTGGCGCCACTTGCCTTACCGCATCGCTGCATCGTGCGCTCAGACGCAGCTTTGAGGGGGCGCACGGCAGACCAGGTCATCTCCGAACTGCTGGAAGAGACTGCGCTCAATTTGGGCGAGACGACAGAGGACTGGGCTGAGGCCTCCACTACCGCAGGTCGGGAGTAGACGATTGTTTGATCTCTTTTTTCTTCTGCTTTTTTTGTTCGGGTTTGCCGTCTTTCTGCGGATGGATTGGATATACTACGTCTTCTATGTGGTTGGAGGCGTCTGGCTGATCAGTCATTGGTGGACCCGGCGCAGTCTACGCAATCTGAACGTCTCGCGGCGGGTGCCGGCCAAAGCATTTACCGGCGAAACAATCCACAGCGACGTCAACTTTCACAACCGCAGCCGTCTGCCGATCCCTTGGTTACGGCTGCAAGAGAATATCCCCATCGACCTGAGAGCGGTCGATAATTACAGCACGATCATCAGTATCGGCGGCCGTTCGCTGACAAGGCGCCAGTTCGCATTGTACTGCCATCGCCGCGGCTACTATGAGATAGGCCCGCTCAATCTCCATACCGGCGACCTGTTCGGTTTTGCCGAATCCTCGTGGCAGGAGACGAACGCACACCTTTTGACGGTTTACCCCAAGATCTACTCGCTGGCCGAACTGGGTCTGCCCAGCCTGCTGCCTTTCGGCGATATGCGCAGCCCTCACCGTCTCTTTCAGGATCCAAGCCGTATGGCCGGAGTTCGCCCCTACGCCAGCGGCGACAGTATGCGCCACATTCACTGGCGGGCCAGCGCCCACGAGGACAAGCTCCTGGTGAAGAAATTCCAGCCTTCGATGGCCCTCAGCACCACAATTGTACTCGATCTGGATCGCAGGTCCTTCCCGTATCGAGAGGAGTACGGAGGCAGCGAATGGGCTGTGGTGCTGGCGGCATCTCTGGCCAGTCATGTGTCCGAGCAGAGGCAGGAGGTCGGATTTCTCAGCAACGGGGAGGATCCCCGCTCGGGCGCGGAGGTCCTGGCCATCCCCGCCCACAGTGGGCGCGGCCATTTGATGGGGATACTTGAAATACTGGCGCGCATTCAGTTGCGGGAAGTGCGCAACGCCGATGGAGACTCGTCGACCCGGAAAAACGGCGCGCCGGCGGGGACGACCAGCGGGGGTTCCGAAAAGGAAGAGGGGAACTCTCCGATTGCGCTTTCGACTTGGTTGCCGGGGCGGGCGGCGCAACTAAGTTGGGGGTCTACGTTGGTGGTGGTGACGCCCCGACTGACGGAGAGTCTGATCTGGGTATTGCACGGCATGTACCGGCGTGGTGTCAATGTGTATGTCCTCGCGTGCACGCTGCAGCCCCAGTTCAAGCGCATGAAGGAGAAGGCGGAGGCCTTGGGGGTTACCTCACATCAGACAATCTGGGAATCGGATTTGATGGATTTGCAAAGTTAGTCGAAAGACAGATGGCAGAGTCAGATAGTCCCCAACAACAACCTAGTTTCGACCATGGATGGCAGGACTCTCTTTTGCGCCCGGCTGTCATCGCGGCGTTGGTCGGCTGCATATTGGTGGCGCTGATATCGTTCATCCGGCATATTGGGCCGGGACTGCCCGCGGGCTATATCAATATCCTGCGCATCACGTCGATTGGGGCGGCGTTGGTCGGCTGCTACACCACTACCATCCTGGTGCGTCCGCGACAACGCCAGCGGCGCACAATGAGTTATCGTCTTTCGGAGCTTGGTTTGATCCTTTTCGTCGCCCGCATTGCGCTCTGGTCGACAGTCGAGGGTTGGCCAGCGCTGGGGGATATGTTTCTGCAACCGTTTGCCGTTTTTCTCACCCTTGGGTTCGTCATCAACGCGATTCTGATCCTGATCGCCTGGGGCATGGCCGTCCTGGTGACAAATGATTTCCTGGCCATGGGCTTGCAAGCGGACGAAATAATCGATTTGGAGGCAGCGTCCAGACCGGTCAGTGGCGACGATCATCGCATTGAGAGTGATCGTGGGGCACTGGTACGCCGTTTCAGCGAACGTTGGGCAATGGGGGGGATGCTCCTCATTGCGCTGAGCGCGGCCAGCCAGGTGGGGCTGGGCACGAACGGATTCTTCGCGCTGGTGCGTCAGGATATTGCTGGGGGCGTCATCGGCGCCGCGATCGTCTACTTTGTGCTGGGGTTACTGCTGCTAACATTCGGCCAATTGGCGGCACTGAGAGCCAGGTGGCAACTGGCAAAGCTGCCCAGTGAAGGTACAGTCGCGCGCAACTGGCCCTTTTTATGCTTTCGGCTTGCTGGTGGTGGTGGCGGCTGCGGCCTTTTTGATGCCGCTGGGAGGGACGTTTCGGCTTGCCCAATTATTGGGGCTGGCCATGAGAATGGTTTCCGGTGCGGTCTTCCTAATTCTGGGGCTGCTGATGGGCCTATTAGGCCTTTTGTTCGGCGGTGACGAGGAACCGGTCGAGGAGCCGGCGCGCGAACAACCGGAGATGGGTACGCCACAGATCGAACAGGCATTATCGCCCGAGGCGCCGCCCTGGCTGGGGGGCACTGTGTTCTGGATAATTGTCGCGCTCCTGCTCGGTTATGCGGCCTACATTTATCTACAGGGGCGGGGGGTAAACTTTCAGTTGCTGTTGGCGTGGCTGCGGCAGTTCTTGCTCGGCTGGCGGCAGATTGGTGACGCCTTCAACGAATGGCGCATGCGTACGCTGACCCCGGCGGAAGAAGAGAAAGGCAAGTCGCGTCGCTCGCGCGTGCGCCGCTGGCTGGATGATTTGATGCTCGGCCGCCTGCCGCCCGATGAGCAGGTGAAATATTTCTATCGTTCGACGCTGGAGAGTGCCGCCGAGCACGGAATGCGGCGGCGCCCGGGTGAAACGCCGCACAGATTTCAGGCGCGTTTGGCGGACAAGGTAGAGAGTGAAGATGAGGCGGCTGTCGCACGGCTGACAGCCGGCTTTGTGAGAGTCGAATTTGCCCGTCAAAGCACGGAGGTAACGGCAGTTCCTCTGTTGAAACGTGCCTGGCCCATTCGTACGTTCGGGGGCGCGTAGGGCGATTAACAGGAAGGACAGACGCGCTGCGGCTGTGCGAGAGAGCCGATCACCGGAAGGCCAAAGAGTGAACATATGCTCATGCGCGGCCATCCAGGCGCAGGGGTCGAACTGTTACGCGATTCTAAAGGGCACGGCTGTGAGATTCACTCTTAGTGAATTCCAGATTCATTGAACTGTCAGCCCCTGAAACGAACATCAGAATTGGTTTAGATATCGTTGCTCCAAACCGCGCAAGAATCAGGTCGAGCAGTCCCTCACACTTTGACATTCCCCATGAATATTCCACGATCTGGGGCACCCCGGTCATTTTTTTGTGTTTGACGATGACAAAATTGATTGCTATAATAAAGGGACGCAAGTAGTCAGCACGGGGCGGTAACTGTGGCCTGCGGTTTGGGCTGCAATGTTGGCTTACCCACCGCCTTGCGAATAACTACGCAATCCATAGGTGGACAATTCCGATGTGTCGAGTCAGTCGCAGTTAGCCGACGAGGAGCCTCGAAGCGCGGGACGGTGAGCAAGCCAGTGTAGAGCAGCAGGCCAGTGTAGAGCATGCAGCAAGCCAGTGAAGACCAGCAGGCCAGTGTAGAGCAGCAGGCCAGTGAAGACCAGCAGGCCAGTGAAGACCAGCAGGCCGATGAGATGCTTTTTGAACAGTATCTCGCGGAAGAGGATGATCTCAGTCTGCCGGAACGCGGCGATCTTCGCGAAGGCATTGTCGTGGAGGTACGCACGAATGAGTTGTTGGTGAACATTGGCGCCAAGCGAGATGGGATTGTGCCCCAGTCGGATCTGAATCGGCTCGAAGATGAATATATGGGCACATTGCTTGAAGGTGAGACGTACCGGTTGTCGTGAGCAAACTCACGACGACGAAGAGAATGTTTTGTAATGAGCATGCGAGCGCCTTACAGAAGAAGGATTGGCTGGTCGCTGAAAAGATGCTGGAGAGCGGTGAGATCACGGTTAGGAAGGTTGTAGGCTATAACAAAGGTGGCCTGTTGGCCGATTTCGACCACTTGCGGGGCTTTATACGGCTTCTCATATCGTGGGGCTGACCCCGCAATATGAACGAGGACCAGCGCAACGAGCGGTTGCAACAGGTTGTAGGCCAAGAGTTGCCTGTGAAGGTTATCGAAGTGGAGCGGCAACGGCGCCGGCTGTTACTCTCATTATCGCGCTGCTGGAGCAGCGAGTACCGCGGCTGGGCGCAAGTCGACAGCTGTCGAGGGTAGTTGAAAGTGTCGGCGCAGGTCGATAGAGGAGAGTGTACGCAGCCTGCGCCCCTTTGGTGCGTTCGTCGATATTGGCGGCGCGGACGGTCTACTGCACGTCAGTGAAATCGGGTGGACACCGGTCAGCCACCCGCGCGATGTTTTGCGGGTGGGCGAGCGCATTCAGGTCGAAGTACTGCGCCTGGACCAGGAACGCAGCCGCATCGCGCTTAGCCGCAAACGGCTTTTGTCGAATCCCTGGGAGAGCATTGAAGAGCGCTATAAGGTGAATGACACGATTCTGGTCACCGTTACAAGAGTGATAGATTTTGGCGCATTCGCCCAACTTGAACCGGGAATCGAAGGGCTGATCCACATCAGCGAACTTGCCGATATCACTGTAGCCGAGCCACTCAAGATGGTAAGCAGCGGTGATCGCATTCCGGTCAAAATCCTACGCATTCACCCGGACCGGCAACGCATCGGCCTGAGCCGACGTCAGTCCGACGAAATAATCGGGCAGGCGCTGCTGGAGACGGAGGCAGAGAGTTACGAGATCCGCGCTGCTGAGTAGTCGTACGGCTGCCGGTCGGCGGCGAGGCGGAAGCGTCTGTTGGAGAGATGGAAGCTTCCCCAAGTGAGCCGGAAGCGTCGGTTGGTGAGCCGCGGAAGCGCCCCCAAGTGAACCGGAAGCATCCGCTGTCGAGCCTGAGACACATGCTCCAGCAGAAGAGATGGTTGACTCTGTATCTGAAGAAGGCACGGTTGCGGATTCGGCATCTGCCCCGGCCGTTGGGGAAGTGGCCGCTGAGGAAGAGCCATCTGTGGAAGCTGCGTTGGATGAAACGGAGGAAAGGCCCTGAAGACGCATTTGCAGTCAATGCCCCCAGTCGTTTATACTTAGATAACCTGCCAGTCTCTTGAAGCAATATGGGCTGGCAGGCTTGTTTTGTTCGATTTGCACCAACGTCTTGAAGGGGGTGAGTTCAATTAGCGTTGAATTGAGGCCTGGAGAATCTCAGGAAAGCCTGATGCGTCGGTTTCGCAAGTCGGTAGCCGAGGCGCGCATCCTGCCCATTGTGCGCCAAAAGCGCTGGTTTACGTCCAAGAGCGAAGTGCGGCCCGCATCAATAAACAGAAAGCGATCCGGAAGGCACGACGAAATGCAGCCCGTTCTTTCCGTTAGAGAGATTCTACAAACACTAGGCAGTATTACTGCCGGCCACGCGCCTACTGATGGAGATTTATGGCTGAGGAAATACTCACACTGGAAGGCAAAGTCGTCGAAGCATTGCCGAATGCGCAGTTTCGGGTGGAATTGGAGAATGGACACGTTGTTCTGGCCTATTGTCCGGCAAGATGCGAAGAAACTACATTCGCGTGTTTCTTGGCGACAAGGTGAGAGTCGATATGAGTCCCTATGATTTGACACGCGGACGCATAACATATCGGCGTAAGTAGCGAGTAGTTTGCACCGGGGCAGCCCGGTTGTGCGCGTCGCATAGGCGCGAGGCTGGCGCTCCTGAACACAGGGGCGTTAATACTGCTTGCCAGAAAACGATCATTGCGGAAGGTGTAACGAGCCGGGAATGGGAACATTCCCGGTTTTTGTATTTGGAGCGGTTCAGAGGTGCGGAAGGTTTCTTAGTGTAGTTACAGCGTCTTCGACGAAGAGCCGCTCGGCCTCAAAGGTCAACCGTTCGCTAGCGGTCGTCAGCGGCGCCCACAGGACCTGAAACTGCTTAGCGTCTTTGGGGGGCCGGGTTGTCTGCCGGGCGGAAAGAAGTTCCATCAGGAAGTAACGTTCTTGCCGGATGTAGTGCGCACCTTTGTAGTTGAATTCGACTGTCGGCCAGCCCAGGTCTGCCAAGATGCGCAGGTCACAAAAACCTGTTTCTTCGCAGGTTTCGCGCAGGGCCGCTTCCTCAGCGCTCTCGCCGGGATCGATATGTCCCTTGGGCAGTCGCACTTCGGCGCGACTGGGCCCGGATCCAGGAGAAGCAGAAAGGATTCTGCGGCCGGCAGGTGGGAGAGGATGTTTCTTTGCGTCACGATCCCACCGGCGGAGCGGTATTTTATCGTCTTCACTGGTCAACTCCTGTGCTACAATATACTCATGCAGACTCTGATTTCGGGGGCAAAGGTCCTAGGTATCCCTCTCGACAGCGAACAGATCGAACAGTTTCGCGCTTTTGCCGCGTTGCTGGCCGAGTGGAACCAGAAGATGAATCTGACCGCGATTACGGACATTGAAGAGGTGCAGAAAAAGCATTTCCTGGACTGTCTGGTTGGCCTGCCGCTTGTCGCAAAGGAGATTGGAGCGTCTTTGCCGCCAAAGCGGGCGTTGGCTTGCATCGATATCGGCACTGGCGCCGGTTTCCCGGGGGTACCTCTAAAGATCGCGTGGCCCAACCTGAAGCTGACGCTTATGGATGGCACGGCCAAGAAAATACGCTTTCTAGACGAGGTGGTGACCGCGTTGTCGCTCGAGAATGTAACTCTCGTACAGGGTAGAGCTGAAGAATTGGGCCGTCATGGTCGTTTTCGCGGCCAGTTCGATCTGGCGACGGCCAGAGCGGTGGCTCGGCTCAACACGCTGACTGAGTATGTATTGCCGTTTGTGCGCCAGAGCGGAATGGCGGTCATATATAAAGGCCCAAACGCGGCCGAGGAGTTCATGGAAGCGCGCAAAAGCGATAGAACTGCTGGGCGGCGAAACGGTCCGGTTCTCGCCTGTAGGCGTGCCGACACTGGATGAGGAGCGGCGAGTTCTGCTGATAAGAAAGTTGCGCAGGACGCCCAAACTCTACCCCAGGCAGCAAGGATTACCTCGCACAGAACCTCTCTGACGGCGGGCAAAGTTGAAATTTGTGTGCGCGCCGTTCAGCAGTGGCGTTGTGCTATTGCCTTGGGTATTTTTGTCAACGCAGATAGTAGGTCATATGCTGGAAGTGGACAACCGGATCGATATATTCGACGCGAACGTGCGAGGGGACAGCCAGAGTGATGGGTGCGTAACACAGTATGCTGCTCAGTCCCGCCTCGATAAGCTGACTGGCGACGCGCTGGGCGGCGTAGGCAGGGACAGCCATCACGGCAATTCTCACATTTGACTCTGTAACTTGCTGGTTGAGGTCGGCGAAATCCTCGATGCGCAAACCATCTCCGATTGGCTGCCCGATTTTCTGTGGGTCCTCATCCAAGACTGTTACGATGCGAAAAGCCACTTGATTCAAACTCCTGGTAGTTGGCGATGGCCGTGCCGAGGGAGCCGGCGCCCACAAGTATCACCGGCCAAATCCTGTCGACGTTGAGGATCTTCTGTAGCTGTTGGCACAAGAACGCGATGTTGTATCCCGTTCCTTGCTTGCCAAATTCACCAAAGTGGCTGAGATCCTTGCGAATCTGCGCGGAACTGATGCCCAGATGCTCCCCCAACTCCTGGCTGGAGGTAACTTCCCGCCCTTCATCCGCCAACAAGCGGAGGGTCCGCAAATAGACCGGCAGTCGTCCGATAACGATGTCAGGGATGGGAGCTTCCCTGGCGCTCTTTCGTCATTCACCGTTACGTTGTCGCTTTCCTCAGTTAGGGCACGAATTGACAGCGTTTGCGGGAATCTGTCAGAAGTTACAGGGACAGACTCTTGGGTGGACAGTTGGGCCGCGTATACCCGTTTGGCCCATTTCCGACTGAGAAATAATTCACTAAAGATAACACAGTCCGGTCTGGAGAGCAATCCACTTCCAGTTTTTAGTTTTTTGTTTTCAGTGGGGAGGTTGTACAAGAGATAGAGGAGCGCATGACAAGCGGTTGTCTGAACTGGGATTTTTGGATTTGGGGGATGGGTAGGATTGCCGGCGAGGTTGGCATGGGGCGGGGCCACACTGTGCTCACATGCGTAGCGGCTCACATGCGTAGCGTTTCGGTGTGACCGTCGACAGCCAGGGCCTGACCAGCAATGCGGGCGCCGCTGTCGGAACAGAGAAAGAGGACCGTTTCGGCGATATCGTCCGCGGCTATCAGCGTGCGCAACGAGCTTTTTTTGCGATAGGCGGCCCTGATTTCCTCGGCGCTGACGCCGCGAGCGGCGGCCTTTGCGGCGATCACGCCGTCGATGCGCGGCCCTTCGACGGTGCCGGGGCAGACAGCATTGACTCGAATTCCGAAGGGTCCCAGTTCCATGGCCAGAGTCTTGGTCAGGCCGATCAGCGCCCATTTGGAGGCGGAGTAGGGGGCACGCAGAGGGTAGCCATACAGGCCGGCCGTGGAGGCGATGTTAACAATCGAGCCGCCGCCGCTCGCTTTGAGCAAGGGTATGGCCAGGCGTGAGCAGTAGAATGCTCCGTTCAGATTCACATCTATCGTGCGCTGCCAGTCGGCCGGCGCGATGCTTTCGGCGTTTGCAGTTGGGCCGGAGATGCCGGCGTTGTTCACCAGCACATCCAGCCCGCCCAGTTCATGTGCGACAGCTTGAAAAACCGCTTCCATCTGTCCTGGGTCGGCCACATCGGCGCAGGCGCCGGACAGCCGGTCGGTGGAACCATCAAGCTGCGCCAGTGCGGCTTCGTCTACGTCACAGACATGCACGCGTGCGCCTGCCTGCAGAAAACGATGGGCCATGACCAGCCCTATTCCTCCGGCCGCGGCGGATATAAAGACCCGCTTGCCAGCGATTCCTTTCATCTTCGAATCCTCATTTTTCGACAACCATGGTCGAGGATGGGCCGCGTCCTCGCCCGTCACCCGCGGTTACCCATAAGCGCCGTGTGGCAAAAATCCGAGAAGCCGCAGCAGCCTGTCATCGGCGCCGGCATAGACGTGGTCAGGCATGCTGTAGTTCATGAACGGGTAGTACTTATGCCCGATGATTCGCCGGGCGTAGGTAACTTGCGTGATGAAGCGTGTGCGCTGAGTACGGTTGGGACCGCCCCGGTGCCAGACCTGGTTGTTGAACAGGACCACGCTGCCCGCCAGTCCCAGATTGTAGCGGATGCGTTCTTCCCACTCTGTGCCGTCCAACTGCCGCGGCGGGCTGGCCCCGAATAGATGCGAGCCAGGAATGACTTCGTGCCGCCGTGCTCGACTTCGGTGACGTCGGTGAGGTAGTAGTTGGCAGTGAAGAAGAGAGCGGGCAGATGCACATTTGCCGGGGCGCTGCCGCCGTCAGTGACGATAAAATGGGGCCGATCATCCTGGTGCCAGCCATCCAGGCCCCCTCCTGGAGGAGAGATGAAGGAGTTGTTGTGGATGACGTGGCAGTCCGGTCCGATGATCGCTTCGGCCAAGGAGATCATCGGCTCCACGTCGAACAGGCGTAGATTGGCGGCACTGGTCTCGAACATGCGGTGGGCCAAATGGGCGCGATGACTCTTGTTGTTCAGCCCATTGGGATTATCTCGCAACGATCTTTCCAAGTCGGAGCGCAGTTCAGAGGTCCAGTCCAGCGGCAGCACATTGCGGAGGAAGAGGCATCCCTCACGGTTGAACTGGTCCACCCAGGCGCCAAGTTGCTCTTCGCTGACTTTCTCATCTGCAAGATAGTGCGTATTCATTGCTCTCTTCTCTCCTTCTGTATCATAGTTCGGTCTCTTGCCGCGTCCGGCCATCGAAAGCGGTCATGCAAACAGCAGACTCAGCCCATCTCTTGAACTCAGAACTGTGAGTCAGACGATCAGAAACCTTGCAGGCGGCTCAGGTCGGCGACCGGCGCGGGGAGTAGGGCGATCCGCTGGACCAGGGCTTGGCGGGCCAGGCGCACCTCCTCCTCCTCTGCGTTGACGAGCACGGCTTCAAAGAGGCTGTTGATCGGCGCGGTCAGTCGGCCAGAACCTGCCCCAGCGACTCAGCAGCATCCTCGGCCCCCTCCAGTTTCGCGGCTGCGCTTTCGCAAGCGCTATGCAACTCGTACTCCACTTCCTCCTGGTAGGCAGTGGGATGCAGGGGCAGTTGGTGTTTAATGTCGCGCACGATGCGGGCGCAACGGGCGTAGGCGGTGAAGGCCTCGTCCCAATCAGGTGAGACGACGGCCGCGGCAAGATGGTGGACAGTTCCGACGGCCGCAAAGGGATCATCCCCGCGTGCGGCCAGCACTGCGTCCACGACATCGGGGCGATGGCCCAGTTCCCGTAGTTTTCCTTGCAGTCGCCGAATGATGAACTCCCTAGCACTTGAAACGGCTACGTCAGACAGAAGACCTCCATAGAGGAAGGCCGCTTGCTCCAGGGCGACTGTCAAATCGAATGGTATTTTGCCAAGGGCACGCGTTCACGATCCCAGAGCGGCACGGCGCAGACCAAAGGGATCGGCGCTGCCGCTGGGCGTCACGCCGACACCAAAGAGACCGACCAAGCTATCGAGTTTGTCGGCAAGGCTCAGGGCAAGGCCGGCTGCGCTCTTGGGGATGGAATCGCCGTCGAAGCGGGGCAGGTAGTGCTCCCGGATCGCCTGTGCCACCGGTGGTGGTTCGCCGCTTTTCAGGGCGTAGATTTCGCCCATTGCCCCTTGCAGGCTGGTCATTTCGACTACCATGGAGGTAACCAGGTCCGCCTTACAGAGCGCGGCGGCCTGGCGAGAGGTCTCTACCTCCTCCTCGCTGCTCCCGAGCATCTGTGCGATCTGGGGGGCCAGCGTTTGTAGGCGAGCCGCTTTCTCGAGCATCGAGCCGAGTTTGGCGTGGAATGTGAGGGTATCCAGACGTTCGGTAAAGGTGTCGAGGGGCTTGGCCGTATCCTGCCGAAAGAAGAATTCGGCATCAGCGTAGCGGGCGCGGATGACGCCCTCATTGCCCTGCCGCACCACTGCGGGATGGTCCAAATCGTCGGCATTGGCGATCGTGATAAAGCGAGGAGCCAGAGTGGAGGCGCCGTCCGAGCCTGAGGGCTTGGCCACAACCGGGAAGTAGCGTTGGTGCTTTTTCATCACTGCTGTCAGGATCGATTGCGGTAGGTCCAGGTAGCGCTGCTCGAAGGAGCCGAGAATGGCCTGCGGCGATTCCACCAGATCGGTGACTTCTTCCAGAAGTTCCTCGTCCGGCCCCCATTCGTAGGTCCCGCGCGGTAGCGGGTCGGCACCTCCCGTTTCGATGGTAGCGGCGCGGGCGGCCAGTTCCTGTACAGCTGCCGCGATCAGGCTGCGGCGATCTTCACGGCGTAGCTGGATGCCTTGCGCGGCCGCGGCATCGAAGTAGCTGTCGGCATCGGCAATGCTAAAGGTGGTAAACTCGCCGGCGGGCAGACGCGCCCGCGCATCGCGGAAGCGGGGCCCGCGGCTGACCCGCCCGCCGGTGACATGCGCCCATGATACGGGAACGACCTCCGGCCCATAGAGCGCGACGATCCAACGCAAAGGGCGAGGGTAGCTCTTGTTGCTGCGGTTCCAGCGCATTGTCCTGCCCCACTGCATTCCTTCAAGTAGATCTTCGATAAGTTGCGGGCAGCACGGCTGAGGTTTGCTCGCCCTGCAGGCTGGTCACGGCGTAGACATAGTTGCCACGCACTTCCAGATCTGAGGCTGGACGCCCTGGCCGCGGGCGAAGCCAACGGCTGCCTTGGTCGGTTGGCCGTCGGCATCGAAGGCGCGCTGCGCGGGCGGCCCCCTGCGTTCGACGATCTCGTCTGCTGGCGTGGGGCCAGTTCTTGAACGAGCGCCACAAGCCGGCGGGGCGTTCCGGAAACGATAGGTCGCATATGTGAGCCGCGCCTGGTCTAGCAGGTCTCGCAGCCGTAGCTCCAACTGCTGGATGCCCACAGGCACATCACCCGCGGGAAGTTCCTCGCTACCAGTTCAATGAGTAGAGATTGAGGCTCGGATACCTGAACAGTTGTGACGTCTTTTCTCCGGTTTGATTTTCCTTCGTCCTCTCCGTGCTCTTTGCCGTCCGCAAGCCACGGATATTCCTGGTGCAGCCGCTGTTCCACGTACAGTTCGGAGATGCGGCGTGCCTGGCTGCGCATTGCGGCAAAGAATTTGGCACGTTCGGTAACGCCGATAGCTCCTCGTGTGTCCAGGATGTTAAAGCCTGGCTCTGGCGCAGCACATAGTCGTGGGCGGGCGCAACGAGGCCGCGCTCGATGCAGGCCTCGGCCTCGGCGTTGTAGAGATCGCATAGTGTCCGTTGGCGCTCGACGTCGGCCAACTCGAAGTTGTAGATACAGTGTTCGATCTCCTGCTGACGATAGATCTCGCCGTAGGTGTGGACGCCATCGAAGTCGATCGACCAGACCTCGGTCCGCTGCTGGAGATACATGATGATCCGCTCCAGCCCATAGGTGATCTCCACGCTGACGGGGTCCAGACTAACGCCTCCGGCCCTGTTGGAAATAGGTGAACTGTGTGATCTCCTGGCCGTCGAGCCAGACTTCCCAGCCGAGACCCCACGCTCCCAGAGCGGGCGATTCCCAGTTGTCCTCGACAAAGCGGATGTCATGCCGGTCGCGTTCGAGGCCAATGGCCTCGAGGCTGCTCAGATAGAGTTCCTGAGGGTTTCCCGGGTCCGGTTTGAGCAGCACCTGATATTGGGTGTGCATTTGCATGCGGTTGGGATTTTCGGCGTAACGGCCGTCATCGGCGCGAAAGGAAGGCTCGACGTAGGCGACGTTCCACGGCTCGGGCCCGAGCACGCGCAGCACTGTAGCAGGGTTCATGGTGCCGGCGCCCAGTTTTTCGCTGTGGGGCTGCCAGATCTGGCAACCGCGCGCGGCCCAGTATTCGTGCAGACGGCGGATCGTTTCCTGCATTGAGGGGATATCAGGCATTGTTCAACTCGTTGGTAGCGGCTCGTAACCAGCCGTTCTCGGTCACTGAAAGATGGTTTGTACTTTTTACTTTTGACTACATTGCCTTCACTACATAACCGTTAGCGGCCACGGCTTGTTGGAAAGAGGCTCTCGTCCAGCTTCAAACCGAAGCCGGGCGCGTCCGGAAGACAAACATGTCCCTCTTCGACTGTGTAGGCGGAACTGTCCAGCCCCGGCGTGGAGAGCTCGTCCCACTCGACAAAGGCAAAGCCATCAACGGCGGCGGCCAAGTGGCCGGAGACAAAGTTTCCCAGATGGGCCCCGTAGTGATGAGGCGCTGTGCGCACGTTCCAGGCATCCAGTTTGGGAGCTGTTTGCAGCCATTTTGTCATGCCATAGGAGAAGATGTCGTACTGAATGACGTCGACGATCCCTCTGCGTGCGTAGTCCAGAAGGTGAGGCGAGGCCGACCCTTCGCCGTCGGCGATGAGCACGGACAGCCCCTCGCGCTCGATCCAGGCATGCAGGTCATCATACAGTTCATCATCCTCGTGGAAGGCCTCCTCCAGCCAGTGACGTTGCAGTCGGCGGTTTCGGTCAGAATATGTTTGGCTATGTTGAGAGTATAGCCATTATTGGCATCTATAGGATGGCGGCGTCGGCGCCGACCGCCGCGCGCACAGCCCGGATCACGGCTATGTCACGGCGATTGCCTTCCAACAGAGGCATGTGCCGGGCGCCGCGGCCTACTTTGATTTTGAAGGCCCGATGGCCCCTGCTCATAGCCGAATCGAGCCTCCGCGGCGATCAGGGCAGCGCCTTCCTCGTCGGTGGGAAGGTGCAGGTCATCAATCAGCAGCGTGGTGTCGTAGCAGGGTACGCGCAGCGGCCCGGTCAGGTTTTTACCGGCGCGCTCGGCCAGGATCTGGTAGATGGGGCGGCCGGCGCGCTGGCCCAGTAGATCCCAGAGTGGATACTCCAGGGGAAGGCTGCCTGATTGACGCCATTGTCAACGTTGATGAGTTCGTCCAGCTGCATACCGATAAGCAGTTGGGCCTGTTGGCGGGTGAGACGACTGACGCCAAACCCCGAAATCCCATCTGCGGTTGTAACGCGCGCCAGGGAGATCTTCGCTTCCCAGCCGTGGTCGCTCTTTTTGCGGGCGTTGAACCCGGCAAGGCGGGCCGCCGGCCGATGAGGGTCCCGGATTCGATTGCGGCAATACGTCGCACTGCCCATCAGCGTCACTCCTGACCTTTCGGTTCAGCTCTCAGGAATTGTAGAAAAGATTGCAAGCCGACGCCAAAGCGGCGCCCCAGCGTTGACAACGGTCAGTTGATTCGTTCAGCAGTTCCAGTCGTATTTTCCAGGTGACAGGGTCACATCGGCTACTGGCGCACAGCAAAGCCGTTGGCGGCAACGGCCTGCTGGAAGAATTCTTCATCAAGCGCCAGCCCGAAGCCGGGTGCGTCGGGCAAGAGTACCTGCCCCTCGTTCACCTGGTAGGCCGATCCGTCCAGCCCCGGCGTGGAGACCTCGTCCCACTCGATGAATAAGAAGCCATCGACGGCCGCGGCCAGATGGCCGGAGACATAGTTGCCTACGTGGCGCCCGTAGTGATGCGGCGCGTTGCCACGTTCCAACCGTCCAGGCGGGCGCCGGTCTCCAGCCAGTTGTATGCCATAGCTGAAAATATCGTATTGAATGATGTCAACGAAGCCATCGCGGGCGAAGTCCAGCAGCAGGGGAGAGGCCTGGCCCTCGCCGTCGGCAATGTGGACCGACAGTCCTTCGCGTTCGATCCAGGCTTGCAGATCCTCGTAGAGCACGCCGTCTTCGTGAAAGGCTTCTTCGAGCCAGAAGAGGTTGCAGTCGGCAGTCTCGGTCAGAATCTGTTTGGCAATGTTGAGATTATAGCCATTATTGGCATCGATCAGTAAGGTAGCGTCGGCGCCGACCGCAGCGCGCACGGCCCTGATCACGGCGACATCGCGGCGATTGCCTTCCAGCAGGGGCATATGCGCGCGCCGCGGCCCACTTTAATTTTGAAGGATCGATGCCCATGCTCATAGCCGAAGCGGGCTTCGGAGGCAATGAGGGCTGCACCCTCTTCGTCGGTCGTCAGGTGCAGGTCATCAATATAGAGGGAGGTGTCGTAGCAGGGTACGCGCAGTTGCTCGGAAACTGTTTTGCCGGCTGTTTCCGCCAAGAGGTGGTAGACGGGGCGGCCGGTGCGATTACCCAGCAGGTCCCAGAGCGGGCATTCCAAGGAGGCGGCTCGCGGGGCGACGCCAACTCCGGGGGCAATCAGGTCGTCCAGGCGGTCGCCGAGAAACGATTCCGCTTCTCTTTGGGAAAAGGGGCGGCAGGCGCCGAATCCGGAGGATCCATCTGAAGTGGTGATACGCGCCAGAGGCACTTGTACATCTTGGCCGTGAACGGCCCCGCGGGAGTTGCAGCCTGCCTGGCGGGGCCGCCGGCCTACAAGTGTGCCCCACTCGATTGCGGAGATTGTGGCACTGTTCATCAAGACTCTTTCTCCTATTCCTGGATAACGAGCGCCCCTTCAGGACGAGCAGAAGGGAGTGCGCTTCAGCTGTCTCCGTAGCGTACGCCGGTTGGGACTACATCGGTTTCCTCACCGCGGCGGATCGCTTCGGCGGTCTCGACAATACTGACGAGATCATGTTTGGGCTCATAACCGAGGAGAGTTTGAATTTTTGTCAGATCGAGCGTGAAATAGTTTGCCATTGGCAGGCGTGCGTCCGCGTAACCGACGCCGTAGCGTTCGGCCAGCCAGGGGACAGCCTCTCCCCAATCGATGATGGCGGATCCGCCCAAGGAGAACTCCTCGCCGACGGCTTCCTCTTTTTCGATGCCCAGGACCAGGCCGCGGGCGATATCACGCACATCACAGAATTGCTGCTTTTGGGGGACTCCGTTGGGGTTGCGACTGAGTAGGAGTTGATCTTCGCCGGTCCACTGGGAGACGAGGTCGTCGATGATCGCCTGCGATTCCGGGTCGTCGCTTTTCATGGTCTTGTGGCGCTCGTAGTCGGTGCTGAAGGCCAGACGCTGGGGCAGGCCGGCCTCGTTGAAGAACTCACTCGGCTCGATGATAGTGGCAAAGCGAAAGGAGGTCGCCGGCACATCGTACTGGTAATAGTATGCCATGGCCAGTTCCTCACCGATCCATTTGGTGAGAAAGTAGGGCATCTGGTGATAGCGGGCAACCATGTCTTCACGTATCGGCTCTTCAAAGTAGCGGCCATGCTCTTCCAGTCGCCAGTAGATGGCCTCGGTACAGGCGTAAACGAAGCGGTGGAGGTTGGGGCACTCCGTGCGTACGCTCTCCAGCAGATTGAGCGTTCCCATCGCGTTGATGTCCAAATACTGACGATTGTCGAATGGACCACCGAAGGCTGCGGCCAGGTGGTAGATGACGTCAACTCCCTGGACAGCCCGGCCTACATCCTCGAGGTTACGCAGATCACCTGTGACCGTTTCCACGTTGGCGAAGGCATCCAACTTATGGGCGCGACTGGCGTCACCAGGATAGACAAGAGTACGAATGTCGTGACCCTTGGCCAGCAGACGTGTGACCAGATTGGCGCCAACCCGGCCCGTGCCGCCGGTTACGAGAATTTTCATTGCGGGACCTTTCCGTTTCTTTAGCTTTTGATCTTGGTACTTTGAACCTGTATGAAGAGTAGATGTCTTCGGCCAAAATTATGGGTTACTTCACCGGGCAGAAATTAGCGGTCGCCAGTGTTTAATTATCTTGTACCTGATTGCTGCGGCCAAACCGCGCGGACGACTTCACTGACCGGTGACACATCTGCTCGTCTGTGCGATAGGCCACGCGACTGCCCGAAAGCAGTGTCGTCTTCATCCATATCGCGATAATTGCCGTGTTGGCACGCCGCCTGGCGCCATTTGACCCTTTTCAGGACAACCTCTGAAAGATCGGAACTCGTACACAGTGGCTGGACTGACCTGAAAGATCGCAATTTAGCCCTCGCCATAGCGCATGCCGGTGGGGACTACATCGGTTTCTTCGCCGCTGCGGATCGCTTCGGCGGTCTCGACAACACTATTCAAATCGTGCTGCGGTTCAAAGCCGAGGAGGGTCTGAATTTTGGTCAGATCGAGCGTATAATAGTTTGCCGATGGCAAGCGCGCGTCGGCGTAGCCGACTCCATAGCGCTCGGCCAGCCAGGGACAGCCTGCCCCCAGTCGATGATCACTCCGCCCGCCAGCGTGAACTCCTCGCCAACAGCTTCCTCCTTTTCAATGCCCAAAATCAGGCCGCGGGCGATATCTCGTACATCGCAGAAGTGCTCTTTGTGCGGAACACCGTTTGGTGGTTGCGGCTGAGAAGGAGTTGATCTTCGCCGGTCCACTGGGAAACGAGGTTGTCGAGCATCGCCTGCGTGTCCCGGTCCACTGCTGTCATCGACTTATGGTGCTCGTATTGGGTGCTGAAGGCCAGAATTTTCGGCAGGCCGGACTCGTTGAAGAACTCACTCGGCTCGATGATGGTGGAAAAACGAAAGGAGGTCGTCGGCAGGCCGTATTGGTAATGATAGGCCATGGCCAGCTCCTCACCGATCCATTTGGTGAGAAAGTAGGGCATTTGATGATAGCGGGCTACCATATCCTCCGGGATCGGCTGCTCAAAGTAGCGGCCGTTTTCCTCCAGCCGCAAATAGACAGCCACGGTGCAGGCGTAAACGAAGCGGTGGAGATTGGGGCAGTGCGCGCGCACGCTCTCCAGCAGATTGAGCGTTCCCA